TTTTTTAAATTAATATTTATTAAATAATAATACAATTTTTATTTTTTTAAAAAATTTTTCCAAAAAATTTTGGGTACCACTGTAAATAACAATTATCAATAAAGTATACTGGACAAGATCCAGCTAGTATTTTTTTAAAAAAACAATATCTAAAATATTATAATATTTTATAAAATTTATAAATATTTTAAATAAAATAATAAAAAAATAAAAAAAAATAATTCTAAATTTATATAAATAAAACTTTTAATAATACAAAAACTTGAATAAAGAAAATATAAATTTTATTATACTATAAAAATCAACTTTTAATAAAAAAAAACTTTCAAATGCATTAAATTTTAAAAAAAATTTGAGAAAAAATAATCAAGTAGCCTTAAAGCCCTTTTTCTTAAACCTAACTTTAAAGTCTAATTTATACTCTATTTATACAATACTTTAATTTCTATTTCAAATAATAAATTTCAATTTCCTTCACTTATTAACTTTTTTAAATATTAAATAACAGTAATACAAGAAGCCTTTATCCAAAGATAAGAAAATATTTCAATAATCTATATTAAACAGTAATTATTTGAAAAACTTTTTCAAATATCAAATAACAACAAATTAAAACCTATAAACAAAAAGTCAACTATACTTAACAAATCAAATCTATATTATAGACAAAGAAAATAATATATATTAACTGGAGAAAATCTCAAATGCCTTTATCTATTTATTATCAAATACCTTTATACAAGAAGTGGAAATAAGATAATTATATTATTTTCACTTATTTTAGGTTATGACCACTTAGGTATAACGTGTGAATTGCAAAACTCAAATCATTCGAGTACAGTAATGGGTATATCACAAAACTCAAGTCATTTGAGTAATGGGTAGATTGCAAAATTCAAGTCACTTGACTAGATGTAATGTGTAGATTGCAAAACTCAAGTCACACCATATTGTCACTTGAGAACCGCTGAGACATGCGCCAGTATGATGTGCGTTTTGCATTTTAGACCACATTCAAGAGACGTGCATTTTGCTTTTTATGACATACGCCAAGGTGACGTGATTCATTTTTTAGGCCACACAGTAAGGTGTTGTGATTCATTTTTTAGGCCACATACCAAGGTGGAGTGATTCATTTTTTAGGCCACACACTAATGTGTCATGATTTATATTTTACGACACACACTTGACATGCATTTTTCATTTCATACAGATTGCGTTTGTGTCGTCATCCGAGATACGCAAGTGGCTTAATACTGTATGTGATTTCTAATCACGTCACTCGAATGACGACTGTGTAAATTTGGCCACAAAAATGCATTATATATATATATGTTCCAAATGATTTCTTATTTTTCAAACTTTCAACATGGATACTACAGAACAAAGAAATCAAGAACGCGAAAACATCTCAACCTTTGTTGACCTATTCGTCTTCACCCTCATTCCGTTAATAATATTTAAAGGAAAGAGTCACTTCAATCAAATCAAATTTGTTACAGAACTTACATTCTATATATTCGGCTATGATTCTATTCTTATAATAAATCGCGAAAAGTCTCAATCTATCGCTCTTCTCATTGTGTGTGTTGTCATTCCATCCATACTTCATGTATTGTACATGACATTTGTGTGGATAGATTTCTCCAGATGCAAGAAACATTATGAAAATCGAAAAATAATGCATCCAGCAATAAGAGAAAATGGCTCTATTTCTGTGGAAGGAATGTATGATACCTGGATAATGCATGCGCAGATTTTTGGCACGGTCCTCGTACTTATGGCCATGCTCGTCGTTCCGATAATTTCTGGTTATTTCATGTATTATCATCACGTGTTTGAGACAGTGGACTTCTTCGTCATGCATACATTAGCATCCTCCATCCTTGTTGTCTTGTTTCTTTACTATCTCTTTTATCATGATAACATTAGTGATATGATGCTGATATATTACTTGGTCTTCTCTCTTTCACATTTAACTATGTTGATTGTCTCAGATACGTTGTACTTAAAGACTAGCATCGGGTGTCTCATTCTCTATGCTATGCGTGGCATAAACTACAACGAGGAATTTCGAGAAACGTTACTTAAATCTAAATACGAAACGATAGAATTGAGCATCTTAGAGTGGTTAATTGTTTTGCTTTTGACTATTCTTATGCTACCTTTCATTATCATTTTGTCACCTATTTTTGTTATTTTCTTTTGTGCTATTTGTAATTCCCTGACGATGGGTGCTGTCTGAATCTGTGAAAATTTTTACAGTATTGTAACTTGCAAGAGATTATGATAGCGACAATTTATGTTATTGTGAAACTATTAAAACAATTTTGTTCATGTTTAAATTCAAAGTATAACAAAAATTTTGACACCAGTTAGCTTTAGAAATATATTTCGAGAATATATCACAGAAATGTATTAATTTTGCCCAAAATGAGTAAAATTCTAAGAAAAAAAATAAGACTTTATTGTATTTAAAGACATGTTACGTATATCAAAGTATATCCATACTTTTGTCATAAGTTGTCACTAGTTGTTTGCAGGTACTTGTGACAGAACTTGTGACAGAACTTGTGACGCCTGTTTGAGAGTCTTGAACCTTTTCGTTCCTTTCTTAATCACTTCTTTATATCTATCACAAGTTACTTGAGTAAAATATTAGAATTCTAAGAAATAAATTAAAACTCTTTCCTTTTTGATATTTACCCAATATATATATATACGAGATATATACCTGCTACCAATCTATGATATATGCACTATATATAGTGGAACCCAAAATTATTTGAAATTTTTCTCAATATATAAAAACATATTTAAATAAAATAAAAATTTAAATATAATACATAAATACTATAAAATTGCTTTTACTTATAACTAGTTTATAGATTTTATTATTATTATTATTATTATTTTTTTGTAGGTAAACATCATTTCTTTATTTGATCTGTATATAACAAGGTATACATTATGAAAGAAACAATATCTTTCATATGTTAGTACAATAAGTCAAATGCTAGCTTGCCTACAGTAACCATATAACTAATATTGAAAAGAAAGTTTAAAACAATATATCTTGCAATATAGTACCGAACAGTTATGAATACCTATTCAGTATTAGGGAAATAATACTTGATAAAGATGAAATTAAATTTTAAATACATTTGGAAGAATTATAATTATATTGGATAAAAGTATTAGTAACTATTGTTGAAAGATCAATGGTAATTTTATTTTGAGTACTATTAGAATGTGAGTTTTCTGTAAGATCAGTATGGTTTCTTTTTGGTTTGGTCAGGTTGATAGTATTTGATAGTTTGTTTAAGTTTCATTTAATACCAGTGAAGAGTGATATATTGACAGTATTACAGTATGGTTTCCAAATTGAGTTATATATCTGAGCTAAGAATTCTGTTGATGCCTTGATCCAATTGGAAATATCAGCTGTGGAGAAGATTTTATTAGTCATTCTATATAACAATTTTACTACTTGCCAAATATAGAAAATTGGTTTAAGATTATTGTCTGGATAGAGAATTTGATTAATATTTTTTATAATCTAACTGGCCTCTTCTGAGACTTTGGGACATTTGAAAACATATTGAATGTCTCTGTACGAAGTTCACATCTTGGACAATAAACATTTTGATATTGATTAGAATAGTATTGATAAAGTATTTGACAAGTTAGGAGAGTTTCTAAAAGTAGTTTGATTCTAAATACTATTAGATTACTATAACTATTGTTGTATGTTTTTTTGATATTTTTGTTAAATTGGTTAATGACTTTTAATCTGTATAAAATGTGACATTATTTGAAGATTTGGATAATTAAAAAGCTTTTACAGATTATGTAGTTTTTGGTAATACTAAAATTTTTTTTGTTCTATTTGATACTATTGCCCAGACATAAGTTGTTAATTAAAGGGTTTTCTGAAAAGTGTAGTAGAGTTGTTTCAATAAATTGTTCTGATTGTAATCAGCCTGGATTTTGATTTGATATATATAACTTCTATCAACCTTTGTTTTATATCTTGGTTTATTTTTTGAACTATGAGAAAAAAATTAATCTTTATCATTCTTCTAAAATAAGTTGAAGCTGATTGGAGGATTTTTCTATTGTTTCTGAATTTAATAGTATTATATACAATACTTCACTAAGCAATATTAAGTATTACAAGTAGAAGATTGCCAAGAGCCAGACAAGTATTGGTAAGTTCTACTTTGTACTCATTGATAATTAAATAATTTTTATAAAATTGAATATGATAATGTTAATAAAAACCAATCTCTTACAATATTGATTGAAAAGAAAAGTAGTTATTGATATTGACTATTTGAAGAATGTGCTTACTTTCATATAATATGTTGATAATTTTATTAATTGAATTTAATAGTCAATATTTGATAATACTGAATGGGTTGAATAATATTCCAGTGTTGATATTATTGGACTTGTAAATATTGCCCAACAAAAGCTGTAAGATAGTATGCCAGCTGGACATTGTGAGCATTTGAATAAATTGTTATTTGTATTGATTGTAAAGTGTTTTTCTTTGAGTATTGTTTCTTTTTAAATGAGTAATTATCTTTTGTAAATCTTGGCTATTATGTTTGAATTATGCACAAACCAAAATGTCACTTTTGGATTTGAAATTGGACCATGTGATCCTATAAAATTCTTGTTATTTGCAAAAGTTTTAAATCAATTTAGTTCTGGGTCAAGACAAATTATATCTGTATATAAGGCAAGTTGGTGCTATATAAGTTTGATAATATTGTTAATTTTCAATAGTTAATTAGTGAATTTTAGATTGAGAGCATTTGTTGTATTGATTGCTATCTTTTTGAACTGGAGTAGAAACCTGACAAAGAGAAAGCCAATTGAATTCTTCACATTGTCATAACTAAATAGATATTCTGTTGGACATATATGGATTTTGAGATCTTTGGTTACTCTTGCTGTATAGAGAATTCAGTTATCTTGATTAAATTTTTCTAAATTGCATATAGAACAAAACTATATTGTCTTTTTGATCTGAATTGACCAGATATCTTGCAATATATACTTTCTAATAAAAGGAATGGAAAATCTGGATATGAGATTTCCTATTAATGCAAATTTTTATCTTTTTTCTAACATTGCTAAGTTGAGACCACTGCAACTGGTTAGTATTGTATTAGAATATTTAAATGTAATTTTGTAAGCTGACTAGATAAACTTGTTGATTTTGATTTTGAGTTGATTAATAGTTGTTTTGTTAAGAAATAATAATAGAAAATATTCAAATTTTCTTATGATTATTTAGTCACTAATCTGTTTTTTAATTTCTCCTTTCCAGTTATATTTGAATAGCTTATCAACAATTTGGATTGATATCTAAATAAAGACTTTTCTATTTGTCTTGAGGAATTTTCTGGAAGAAATTGCTGTACCAAGATATCTTATACTTTAATAAGGTTTAAGAACTTGAATTTGAAAATTATCAAATTTGATTGTATCTTGAATGTTATGTTTGATCTTGATATTGTTAATGACCATGGTTTTGTCTTTGTTGTATATAATGTTATTGATTGCAAAGAATTGGTTGACTATAACAAAAAGATTTTTCATTTTTTGTTTAGATTCAACAATAAGTGCTAGGTCATTTATATAGGCTAGAGTATTGGGGCAATATACTATTGAACTGGGTGGTGTTGTGCAAGTTTGGTAATAAGAGGATCATAAAAATGACCTAAGTAATAGATAACAAGATTTTCTCTTGTTTTATTCCATTTTTAACAATAAATAGTTCAATAGAATTGAAAGGTGTATTAAAAGAGATTTCTTTATTGATAAGGATATTAAAGAATAGATTAGTGATTTAATTTGAGCAACAAATTCTTTTTGGTAATTTCCTTATTGCAGAAATGGTTACTGAATTAAATGCTTTTGCAATATCTAATAAAGCAAATCAAAATTCTTTGTTTTGAATATTTGCTACTTGAAGAGCTGAACTGATGATTGTTAGTAGTTTCATTATACTTTATTCAGAGAGTCCAGCACAGTTGAATTTGGACAAAATATTGTTTTTTCTAATTACTTTAGTTAGTCATTTGTTAATTATTACTGTGAATACTTTTCTAGTAGATTTAATAAGAGAGAAAGGTCTGGTATCATTTAGTTTATGACTTCAAATAAGTTTCTTTGGAATAAAAGTAATAATGATTTGTTTCCACTGTTTGAATATAGTTGTGAATTGTAGAATATTATTAAAGATAGATGTTATTTAAAGAATTGATTTCTCTTCTATAAGCTTGATGATATTATAGCTAATTTCTAATATTCATAGAGCTTTATATTTGGAGAGTTTGTGAATAACTTCTTTAACTGTGACAAGATTAAATAGATCTATTAGTTTTCTATATACAGTTACAGCAAAAAATAATGACAATCATGTTTTCTTATGATTTTATTGTTATATTAATTTTTTTTTTAAATTAAATAGGTTCTAAAATTCACGAGTAAATAATCCAACTAATTAAGAATATATTTAAGTAGATTATGTGAGATTACTCCTGTTTGTATCACCTTTTTTTTTATAAGCTTACCAATGACAACAATTCACAATAACCACTAGATAATAAAGATTTTGTAGCATAGTGGTATTTGTAGTCCAACTGAAATTTCCCAATGAAGTGATGTTCCCTTACACTCCTATGAACATTATGTCTCCTCCTTAAATAAAATTAGCTATATCCCTGAAATCCACCATTCTGGCCACCCATAAAAAACTAGTTCTGCAAAGCATCATCAAATTAAACAAATTGTTAAAAATTATTCTTTTGTAACAGCAAGCGAGATCAAAGCCAGACTCGAGGAAACAGATCCAAACTATAAGATTAGTAAATATACTATACATATTGAACTTAAAAAACTTGGATTTATTTATAGGCTTTTCAAACATATTTCTCTTCTTACAGAACATGCTAAAGAAAATTATTTGCAATGGGTACAAAATCATCTTTATTACAATTGGCATAATGTTGTGTTTTTTGATAAGACAATACTGCAAATGTTTAGAAATACTTGCTTTATGTAGTCTCATAGCGAAAATTCTCAAGAACTAATGGTTAAGCACCCTTTAAGCTATATGTTTAGGCGATAATTAGTGAACATGGAAAAATCAGGTTCAAAACATTTATGAAAAATTTAGACCATCATCTTTATCATGACATATTAGACAAACACCTATATGATAATGTA